TTTGAAAATGCAACAAAATCAGTGATTGAAAAAAAGAGCGATGGAGAGGGAGAAAAAAGGAAAATGAATAAAAAGAGATAAAAGAGATGCGAAGATATAAATTAAGAGAGAAAGAGAAAGAGAGAGAGAGGGAGAGAGAGAGAGAGAAAGGGAGAGACGGCAAAAACGGAGCGGTGTCGGTTTGTTTTTTAACTCGAAACAGATTTGAGTGGATGATTGGTTGGTGTGTGACATTTGAACCTCATCGTCGTCATCATCATCGTTAACATCATCGTCGTCATCATCATCATAATAATGACAATTGTTATAATCATTAGTACTAGTAGTTGTAGTTGTTTTGGTAGTAGTTGTAATTGTTTTGGTAGTAGTTGTATAAGTAGCGACAGCTAGGAGCGACAATATTTTAACACATTATTATTATGCAAAATTATTACAAATCAGCCAGTTAAATAGCATCCAATTTAGAAGGAACTAAAGCGCGACAGAAACAGGACATATAACAAATAATACAATAAAAACCAACGGACGATCCAACAATATACAGACAGACTAACAGCCAAACACACAGCCAAACACACATAGACAAACAAAAAACAGACAACCAAACGAACAAAGAGGGTATTTGTTATCGTGGCATTTTATCACGTGGGTGGTAGGGATGGGCTGTAGGCTGTGGTCCTGCCTGGATGACGTGATTCAACATCGCGTGATTTATAGCATCATGTCATCATATCTACCCGCCACCATGGCTAATATTCATTCTCTTTCAAATATCGTCCATATCGTCTGCCTGTGTCGTTGTCAGATGTTCGCTTGATTGTTTGTTGTTGTTAGTTTTCATCGTTATATTAATCTTAGCTAATTTGTTCTTGTTGTTGTTGTTAACACTATATTAATCATCTTCTGCTAACTGATCAGTTTGTTGTTATTTTTTGTTTAAACTGCCTACAAAAATGTTATTTAATTAACGAAATCAATATTAAAGCAAAAAAATGTTGAAAAACTGAATGATATGTAACGTCAATTTTGTTGAAGTTTTTAGATATAAATGTGTATATAAACAACACACACTTAACACACGCACACATTTATGCAAACATGTATATACACATTAATACTGGTACACAGTACACACACACACACACAAAATCACATTCACACATAGAAATATATACTATGGAACGTTTTAACGGTGAATCTTCGGCTAATAGTTTGGAAGTTTGGAAGCGATGCTCGTTTAGACAACATTCAACATTTTACTTTGAAATTTTCATTCAAGTTATAATTATTATGCGTCGATTGGACATGTCCATTAAATTTTATTTTAATGTTAGTAAAATTTGGTAATAGTTCTTCTCGTAAACATATTTTATTAAATTTAATTTTGTGCCTATTTTCAGATAAATACATATTGATAGATCTGTGGAAAACTACATAGCGTTAAAAGACAAAGATTGACAAAAAATTGATGTAATCATCAGCAATGTCTTCAACAACATCAACTATTGTGAAGAGCACACGCAAAGAAATAGCGACTGTTGGAGCTCGAAAAGTACTACACAACATAAACAACATTTTTCAGGAAGCTCAACTCATAAAAAATTTCTACAAAAACAAATTAAAAAATAACTGGAATAGGAACAAAAAGTTGAAGAACAACAGCCACGACCACTACAAAAATCTTTGCAATGCTGTGCGTGATGAAAAAACTGATGCGGGCTTGCCAACCTCATTGCAACCCAGAACTGCTGAAAACATCACCAACGACTACGTGGAGTTAAACACAATAAATATTAACAACACCAACATCAACACTAACATCAACAACAACACCAACAACTTCACCAACAACAACAACACCAACAACTTCACCAACAACAACATCACCAACAACCCACCTGAGTCTGGTTATGAGAGTGACATACAAACACATAAATATGAAGAACTTTGCGGGGAGCAACAGGATTGGAATGATAACGACAAGAAGGTTGATGATGCAAATGTTACTAAACTCTTAAAAAATCCTCATCATCATCTTTATCAATATGGAAAGCTCATGAACAAAATTCATCATCACCGTAATACCGATTTCTTCAGCGATGCACCTGTGCCAAATGTTTGTGACGTAGAGATGAGCTCATCAAGGAAGAGAAAGATGATTGGGAAGAAAATGATGGCGAGGGATGAGGATAGAGAGAATGAAGCAAAGAAAAAAACATTTAACCAAGGAAGATTTGGTCAAAAAATAATTTCGAAAAAAATGAAAAATAAACCAAAACCGGTCACAAAAGGGAAAAATAAACAGCAAAAACGTATAAAAAAAACTATCGATGAATTGTTCTGTTGGTTTCCTCCTAGAAATGTACATCCCAATAAAGACGTCAGCCAAAATGCAACAAACAATCTTAGTAATTCTGGCATCGAACGCGGCGAACAAACACATCCACAGACATTATTTGATGGAGACATTCAACGAGAACAACAGGAGTCTTACTACCAATGCATACAACAACCTGCTGAACAATACCAGCTTCTACAACAACATCAGCAATATAAACGTTTTTTACAATGCCAACAGTATTTGCAATATCAATTTTATCAAAATCAGTATTATTATTATTCTCAATTTTATCGTCAACAAAATGACTATCAACAACTACTTCGCAAACGATTTCAAACATCTTACCACCAACGTCAGCATCATCAGCGGCAACTTCTGTCCAATGCCAGCACCAGCAACCATCTAAATAATATTTGTCACCTGCAAACTTCAAATTCAACTAAAATGTTATTCAATTCTCTGTCATCATCTGTTCCGTCATCACATCATATTTCAGCACCTTTTTTGCCGCTACCATCTTCTTCAAACATTTTATCATCATCATTGTCATTATCTTCATCAGAAGCATCGTCATCTTTCATTTTCTCTGATCCATCAACAAAGATCTCAGCTGCAGAAACATTCTCACCATCATCAACAAGCGCAACTCACAAAACAACAATATCAGAACTGGAAACAACATCAACAACTCTTGCATCATCTTGTAAATATTCAACAGACAATTTGAATGAGGCCTTCGTGCGTTCGAACGCATCTTGCTGGCACAGTGCTGCAGATGACGAAGAACATCACAATTCGCTGATCACTTATGAGGACCACGGAAAAAGACGAAACCACCAAGATAACAGGAATAACTACTCATATAACAGGAATGAGGATGGTGATTACCATGATGATAGAAATCAGGATTATAATAATGATGAGGAAGAAAATGATGACTACAACGACGATGATGATAACATTCTGAACCTGGCGTTGAACGAACAACCGGATGTGTTCGTGAGTGAGGAGCGGTGCATATGGAGACCTGATCTTTCCGTGATACATTCTTCCAGCTGCTTGCATGGTGTCAGATATTCTGACGATGATGATGATGATAAAGGTGATGATGATGACAATAAAGAAATTAATTTTCATGAGTTTAAACAAAACGACAAAGAAAAATTAGAGATTTCGAAAAAAATCAGCCGGAGTAAGCAAACATATTTGCGATATAAAGATAATGGGCAATCTCGAAACAAAAACAACGACACCAACAACATAGTCAGCAACCTAAAGAGCAATCTCAACAGAATAAACCGCAGTGACGTCACCAAATCTCTAACCAGGTTCGTCGTCATTCTTGATAATCGGTTTTTGTTATTTTTCCTCAATTCAGATGACCAGATTTAGACGATTGTTTTATTTCAGATTTAAAATTACATTTTGCAAGCACACACACACACACACGCACACAAACATACACATACACACGCACCGCCTCACCTCACACTTTAACTCAATATACAATCTATCTCTACTATATAGGTTTTTAACATGCATTCATATAATTAGAAATAATAGTAACTATTTATATGTTGAGTGTTATTTGGCGAAAGCAAGCAAGCAAAGTAGATAGGTAGGTAGATAGGTAGGAAGGTATGTGTCAAATGAGGAGCACAATGAATGTCTACACGTATTTATAGATCGGCATTCTCTTAATAACACATAAGCAGCTCTAATTACTAGGTCGGTCGGCAGGTTGGTTGGTTGGCTAGTTGATTGTTTGGTTGGCTGGTTGATTGGTTGGTTGGCTGGCTGGTTGGCTTGTCGATTGGTTGGTTGGTTGGTTGGCTGATTGGTTGATTGGCTGACTGGTTAACTAGCTGGTTGGTTGGTTGATTAGTTAGCTAGCTGGTTGGTTGGCTGGCTGGTTAGCTAGCTGGTTGATTGGTTGGTTGGTTGATTAATGATTGGTTGGCTGGTTGTTGTGAACGTCGTCAACGAGCAAATCACATATTTATTTATTGGCGGCCTGTAGAATGTAGAATGCTTCATTCACCAGATGTCAGCTGAGGAATTAAGAGCCATTAAGTAACATAACGCTGCGGGTGGTCCGCGAAACGTCACATTCGAAAACATCATCTCTCAAACAATTGGTGATATTTGTCACAAACAGACAATACACTCACCCATCTTCCTACCTACCTACCTTTACAGAAGTGTTATCAAATAGCTGATGAATGTCTGTCGTAAGATCGATTGTACGTCATCCGTGCACACTAGAGAGCAATTTTAATTAATTCAATTCAAGGTTGTTCTCTGCACGCTTCAGTGCCAGTGCTTCCTGCAATGTCTCACCATTACACTTCTTCATTCTTTCAAATGTTGACAATTAAATTCAATTGTCATCAATGATTAAGTGAAAAACTTTCGTATGAATTGTTTAACCAACACAGACACAACAGACGCACATACAAACATACAAACACACGCACACATACAAACATCCACACACATATTCACACACACAAACATACATAAAAACACGCACACTCGAACACACATTGAAACACACGCGCGCGCGCACACACACACGCACACATACAAACACCACACAAACACATAATCACACACGCACACACTCACACAGACATACAAACACCACACAAACACATAATCACACAACGCTCACACATATTAAAACAAAATTCTCACGAACGCTGCAAAACAACGTACTGCCTCCTCCGATTCTAAATTTGTTTTGTCATTATTGGTTCACACACTGGTCCTTGTGAGACATAACGAACTTGTTTTCCTTTTTATCCTCATCATCACCATCATCATCACTATTATCATCCGTCATCATCGTCCGTCATCATCATCGTCATCATCGTAATCATCAGCATCAGTACTACTAACTCACAACAATTACAAATGTCCTTTAAAATCATCATCACATCTTCAACATTGCCGCCATCGTAACAATTATCATTAACGTCTTTGTTATTTTTGTTATTTTTGTTTCATCACTTACCATCACAACGGCACAGGATTTTTGTGCTGTCCTGAAATGTGCGGTAGCATCGCGTGCCCGTGAGAACTTAAAAATAGAATCTAATTTCACGTGGTTGTCAGATGTTTGCTGCTGCTGTTGTTGATGTTGTTGTGTTGTTGCTGATGTTGTTGTTGATGTTGTTGTTGCTGATGTTGTTGTTGATGTTGTTGTTTGTGGGGGTAGTTTGTGTGGTTCAAAAAGCGTCCGTTGTTGTTGTTGTTGTTAAAGTTGTTCACATTGTTGTTGTGGTTGGTCTTGTTTCACAGCCAATGTAGATTTTTGTTACTATACCTAAAAACATCAATGCACAATGGCAGGCTGACACAATTACACAAAAGCACGACAGACACACACATACACAAACGCACACTCACACACAAACGGACACACACACATGTATTTTATGATTCATCGATAAATGCCTAAGAGCAAATGTTTATGTACATACAATAACAGCCTCTTTTTCAAGTGCACAACTCTGCACAACTCTTCTGCTTACAACATTCATTTTATATTTTGTGGAAATGGCATCTCCAGCTTCTTATTTACTTAACTGTCAAAATAAATGCTGTAGCGCGCAATAAAACATCAGATGATGTCCTGTTGAAAGTAACTTAATGGCCATAAAGCTGCTTAAAACAACTGCACACATGCATGCCTCCACAACTATCTCGATGTACATGAGTTAACTTCGACCGACTGTGTGTGTGTGTGTGTGTGTGTGTGTGTGTGTGTGTGTGTGTGTGTGTGTGTGTGTTGATGATCTCGTTTCACGATGTTGTGGTTTGTGGTTGTGTTTTTGTTGTAGTAGTTGTGGTTGATGTTTTCGTTGCGGTTGTTTGTGCGTTACACCGTTCTTTTCATACATTTAATTAATTAATTGGTTATTAATTGAAATGTTTATCATGTGCAGGATACTTGAAAGACTTAATGGATCAATTGAAAAATGCAAACCAGAGGTAAACAACAACCACAAACATTTTGTTAAATGCAACAAAATTTATGACAGCAATTTCATCAACAAAAACATTAACAAAAACAACAGTTGCAACAGCACCGATAACAACATCCTCATTCACGACAACAATAACAAACATGCAAACAAGATGAGCGAACGGCAGATGAACATAATCAAACAGCTGATAAGCAATGAAAGGTCGTACGTGAACGAGATGAACTTGGGGATGGAAATGTTCTCGAGGCCCTCAAAAATGGTCTTCCACACAGAACTTTATTTCAGAATTTTTCAAAACATTGAAAAGGTTGACTTTAACATTGAGTTACCAATTGTTTAAAATTTTATTTTAACAAAAATTAAACAGCAGAACTAGGGATGCACCGGATTCAGGTTTTTCAAATCCGGCCGGGGCCGGACTTGGCCGGATTTGAAATTCAAAAACCGAATTTTAGTTACCATTTTACATACGTTAGAAAAAATACTCACATTTACGGTTATCTACATGTTGAACATCAAAAAATAACACCAAGCAAATAGTTATTTAATTCAAATATATGAATAAGTTGTGTGATACGCCAAATTCTGTACACAAAGATCAGCTTATAAGTTATGCATATTTGCATAACCCAAGTTAAAGCACAAAGAAAATTGTCCAGCTCACCGCACAATTAGTGATGTTGTAATTATGTGTCATGTATACCTAGCCTAACTTTAACATACCATGTTCTTAAATTATGTGCTTATGTATCTCTCACTCTCTCTCTCTCTCTCTAAATATATATATATATATATATATATATATATATATATATATATATATTATGTAACTATATGATCCGTCATGTGCAATTATCAATATATAGTATATACACGTGCACAAGTTCTTTTACACAAAGATCAGCTTATAATTTATGCATAACCCATGTTATAGCATAAAGAAAATTGTCCAGATCACCTCACAATTAGTGATGTTGTTATTATGTGTCATGTATGCCTTTAGCTTAGGTTTAGCCATTAACTTATTGACATAAAATTAATTGAATTCAATAAAATTTTTTTTTCTATTTCTAACATTTTAAAAAGTTGATAGACGCTTAAATCCGGCCCTAAATCTGGCCACCAAATCGATTCGACCGGATTTGAAAAAAAAGCCGGATTTTGGCCGGGGCCGGAGCCGGAGCCGGGGCCGAACTTCGGTGCATCCCTAAGCAGAACATTGTTTTCATTTTAGTAATATAGTTTTAATTAATTTTTATTAATTTATTCTTGACAGTATCTGCAAATATTTTGTAAGGCACGATTATATGACGCCTATAAATCTAATGTTTTCCAGCTTATAATTTCTTAACTGGTCGCTAGGTACTAATAAATAAATATTAAAATATTCGTCAGATGTCAATGTTGTCAGAAATGTTCCTTTCCAAGATATCGTCCACTGTGCGAAGAGACCAAGAACACGCAGTAGAAGATGTCTTAACTGATCACGTGACTCTTGACCACGCGACTCTTGATCACGTGAATTTTAATCATGTGACACTTGATCACGTGGTGAATTTGTTTACACAAATGGTTTGTTGGTATTTATCTCTCCGATAAATATTCTATATCGCTATATCACTTCATAATGGTTGAAGTAACATTAAAATTTTAATTAATTAAATTTGATATTTCAACGTACTAAAAAAGGTTTAAAAATTTTTATCAATTAATTAACAGATTCGTTTAACTGGAAAATTGAACGTTGGATACGAATCAAAAATTTCTGAATCAATAAAAGTTGTGGAAAAATTGTTCAGAGGAGAGATAGATGTTGGCAGGGAGAGAGGTGAGATGTTGAAGCTGCTGATGGAGAGGATCACCATTGAAGATCTCATCCACTTCCTCCTCCTACCTGTTAGAGTTGGTACTGCTGCTGCTGCTACTACTGCTACTACTGCACGATATTTTTAACATCTTGACTAATCGTTCGCCATCACGCGTATAAATTTACTTTCTTTGTTAGGCTCAACTAACTGCTTGAAAATTTTATTTTTAAAAAACTTGGATGCGTTATGTGCAGTCTGAATTATTAAATACTAAAAAAATTAGCTGTTTTATTTAAATGATTAGAAAAAAGGTTTTAAAAAACATTAAGCTGCACCATTCCTTTCAAAATTTATCAACCTTTCGCATCATTTTGATGTACAACTGCCTGCAAAAACTACACTGCATGCCAAACTGCTTAAATGACGTTAATAAAGAGTAGTCTTCAGTTATTACTTTTTTTCAATTTTTCTTAAGATTTATTCAGATTATTTATTCAGATTATTTATTATTAATTAATTAATATTTGTTCAGCACTGGCGTGTTTTGGACGAGAGTTTGAAGGAACTCCTGGAGACCACACCACTTGAGACGCCTGGCCACAAGGAACTCCATGACGCCATCGTCAATTTGAACTGTTCATACAATACTCCTTGATCAATTTCATAGGATTTCAACCTTTTTTTTGAAATTGTTTTTAATTTGTATAGTTTAAAATTTATTTATTCAATTAACTGATTTATTTAATTTATTAATTTATCTATTTAAACTGTATTAGAGTCGACAGATTGCCATATTTTAAATCTTTGTGTGAATATATTCAATTATTTAACAGATTAATGTTTTTATTAGTTTAACAAAACATAAAAGGCAATGAATGCGACAATGAATGGTTATAACATGATAATGCTGATGAGGATAAAATATTTCTAATGTTAACGATTGTGATGGAAATGATGATGAAAATGATGATGATGGTGTCAGCGATGTAGGTGATGATGTAATAATAATGATTGATGAGGTTCTACCACAACTCTAAAAAACGACCGATGATGACGATGACGAAGATGATGATGACGACGACAATAAAATGTACATAGACTAATTGTGATATAGATGTTAGCGCAAACTTCAATAAACTGAAATATATACATAAGTGTTTATGATTTGTTCTATCTTGCTATACATGCTTTGTACAAAAAAACTAAACTGAAAACGTTCATTTCAACGTTATATACAAATACGAATGTATCTAAACATACGTATACATAATACATATTTTCATATTTAAATACGCGTACCTATATGTATATGTGAGTGTGTGTGTGTATGGTGTGTGTGTGCGTGCATGTGGGAGTGTGTTTGCGTGTGTGTGTGTGTAGGGGTGCGTGATACAATGCATTCTTTACCAGGCCAGGCACTTTTTCATTTTAAGAGTTCGGCTTAGTATGGAGTGAAGTTGCATGTCTATCTTATTGTTGGAGTCTTTCGGCTTCTGTGGTTTATTTAAATAGAGTGCCTAGTTATTTAAATTTATTCTATATGAAAAATGAAACGTGTTATGAATTTATTCGTGCAAAAATTGCATCTTGGACGGAGAAATAATAAAAATAAGTAAATATAAAACGAATCAATATAGTGAAAGATTAGTGCTTATCTTGTTTGATCGAAGAGTCGACTTCAGTATTTTAGGGTTCTCAAATTTGAAACTTCCATGAAAATGTTTTCAAATGATGATGTATTCAGTGAATATATGGGTAGGATGATGATGAAGATGATGAAAATCATAGTGCCATTTGTGGTTGTTGGCAATGTTTAAGTGATGATTACTTTGTAATGATAGTGACGGTGATGTCGATGGTGTTGTTGTTGTTGATGATGACGATGGTGTTGTTGTTGTTGACGACGATGTTGTTGACGATGGTGTTGTTGTTGATGATGATGTTGTTGTTGACGAGAATGTTGTTGATGATGATGATGGTGTTGTTGATGATGATGTTGTTGTTGACGAGAAGTTGTTGATGATGATGATGGTGTTGTTGTTGATGAAATTGTCAACGATGACGATGATATTGAATTGTATGTGGATGACGTTCATGGTTTCTCCAAACAATTACATAGACACAAAAGTAAAAAAAATTGATTTTTAAACAAACTAGAGGGGTCTTGAGTTACAAAAACACATATTGCCTACCTACATATTATATATTTTTATTTAAATTTACATAATTCATAGTAATGCTGAAAAAATAGAAAACTGAAAAGTAGGTGAATTATTTGCAGAAGTTGATGTGAAGTTATTCAGAAGTGATTGTCTGGTTACTTTCAATTGTTCAGCGATAAAGCAATGTTGAGCGCGATTATTACGTTTGTTAGTAATGTTTTCCATTTTGTTTGCCATTTGTTTGTTTTTTGTATTTACGTAAATATGCTTTTTTGTATTTTTGTTTGTAGGTATGCTGCTTGTTCATGTGTTTGTTCGTATGCTTATGTTGGTTTCTATGTCAGTTTTATTCCATTCTTTACTGAATTGATTTCTGCTATATATATATATTAGTTTGTTTATTTGTTTGTACATATGTTCAAGTGTTTCTTTTTTGTTAAATTGTTGTTTATTATTTTAATGTACTGCTCATAGATTTAATTATAAAAGTTAATTTTACTGAAAATTTTTTTTATGAGCTGGTTAAATATTTTTATGGCTGCTGTTTCATTGATCACTGTTTCTGTTTCTTCGTCAATCATCAGCTATATTTTTGTTTAGAATTTTTAAATTCATTCAATTTATTTAAATGTCATTTTAAAAATGCATTAAAAATCTTTTACTGAAAAAGAATTGTTAAAGGTGCTAAAATCAAACGAACATTCAAATCAGGCTTTTAATATTTTTCAGTTGAAATTGGTTACGAGGTTCATTGAATTTGAACGATCAAAATTTGATTAACAGCGTACTCGCTTCGGTCGTGTTATGTTTAAAAGATGCTTATGAAACATGTGGTTCATATTACAAGTATACGTTAAACTCCCATGACTGTATATGAATTTACAAGCGCATAGATCGTCTTATCTTTCAGTAGCAAATCATATCCTACTCTGGGCGATGTGAATGTTTCCATCTTATCTCAAGCATTTCCTGCGCGCTCGTTCCATTCTTTCCTTCAGTTGTGGGAGTCTCCGATGATGATAACATTCAAAAATTTATTCGGAAATTCTGTTTGATTGAACTGCCTGTTTGTTTTTTTGTGTGGAGAGGACAGAAATGTTTGCCAGCATTTCAAACCATTCAACACCGCTCTTTTGCATATTTCGTTTTTTGGGTGTTTATTAGTACAATTTGGAAATGTTAAAAAGTAACAGAAAATATTTTTTAAATATAAAAATTACCTAAACGCAAAATTCATATTTTTTAAAAACTTAAGTTTTACTAGAATAATAATTTTGAAGAATTGACGGAGTAACTTTTAGCGACAACAAGGTAACTTTTAACATTTCGTAACGAAACAAAACACTTCCAGTAACATTGGTTACAACAGGAACATCAATAAAATAACAAATTTGATAAAATCTCCATCAGGACATCATCAATTGCGATGAAGAAAGCAATAAAATTCAATAAAATGAAACAAACTTCCAAACTTCTTTAACCAGCGAAAAAATGAACCAAGTCATAACAACCGTGGCCAAAATAGCGCAGACAGGTGTGAGGAATGATGACGACATCGTCGACCGACTGAACCACCGCTACACCTCCCTTCTTCTCGTCATCTTCACCATCGTTATCAGCACCACGCAGTACGTCGGCACCCCCATCCACTGCTGGTGCCCTGCCTTCTTCTCTAGCAACCATGAAAAGTACGCCAACAACTTCTGCTGGATATCTGATACTTACTACCTGACCGACGAGAACGCAATGCCTGGAGTTGGTGTCAGACGCAAGCACATCGGATACTACCAGGTCTTTCAACGATTCCTTCATCCTCATTCAATGGCGTTATTGTAATTTCTAGTTGGAAGATTGTTTTAACGATTGCTAGTGTTGATTCTTTGCATTTGCTAGGACTAAAAAATTTTAATAAAAATTCTTAAAACCAAGTATCAATTTAGGATAGTTTAGTATTTGAAACATATAAAGCGGACACGACAGAGGTCATTGACTGGAAACGAACAAATTGTAATTTCGTATCAGTGGATTCCTGTGGCCTTGTTAGTTCAGGCGCTGCTCTTCTTCATGCCGTGTTTGTTCTGGAGGATACTGAGCGACAGGTCTGGAATCAACGTAAACAACTTGGTGGAGGCTGCCGAAACCATCCAGAATGCCCTCTACCCGGAGAGGAGGGAGAAGACCATCAGGTACATGATCAGGCACCTCGATCATTACCTGGATTACCAACGGGACTACAGGTCAGTCGATTATTCATTGTAGTCCTGAGGGAATGTTAGTTGGGGACATTTCATTAGACATCATAGAATGAAGAGTTTTAGTGATGTAATATTTTGCAAATAGATAAGATTTTTCAGAATTCAAATAAATACAAATGCATCGCTTTTCAAGTGCTTTGTTTAATGCTTAAATTGTTGAAGCATGTATATTTTTATATTCTGCAAGATGGCGAAGAGGTGGGGCATTCTTTCTTGCGTTGCAGTGATCTGGTTCGAATGCAAACAGATCCCGTTTCTGTAAAAAAAATAATGTAGAGTTTATTTTTTTGACAAATTGTTGTTTAGCCACGGAGACATTTAATAAAATAACAAACCAAATTTATTATCATTGTTGCTGCTGTTGCTTATGCTTCAATAGCAATTACTGAAACACTGAAACAGAGGCGGCTGTTGTGACGGTTGCAAACAGGGTATGGCACGAATTTCTTCAGTTTTCGTTTGTGGCAACAGGTAGGAAGAAATATCTCCACCGGGATGGTGTTTTAAATTAAATTACAAAACATTTTTGACCTCCACGTTGTTATAACTTAATTTTCTCACTGATAATTATGTAATCAAATACGAAATGTTGTAAGGCGAGGGAACTATTTGGTCGGTTTGTACCTGACTACGAAGCTGATTTATATCATCAACTCCATCGGCCAGATATACCTACTCAATCTTTTCCTCGGAGCGGACTACCACATGTATGGCATCCAGGTGTGAGTTCAGGCATTCCTTCTTTCATTTCATTCAGTATACTTTTTTTGCCTAATTTACTTTTGCTACATGTACTAGTAACACTTGGTAAAACTTTTTGAAATTAATCAACAACTAAATTTTAAAATTTAATCGACATAATAAAGTTTGTTGGGATTAGCTATCATTAACATTATGTTAAATTAATCAAATTTTTTTTAGATAATAATTGATTTAATGAAATACCGTGAGTCGAGACTTCAACGGCAAAATCGCTTTCCACGATCGACGCTGTGTGATTTTAAAATCTTTCAAATGGGAAACGTCCAACCGCACACAGTCCAGTGCGTACTGCCCATCAATTTCTTCAATGAGAAGATCTACTTGTTTCTCTGGTTCTGGATTGTTTTCGTTTCTTTAGCGACATTTTTAAGTCTCTTTCGCTGGGTTTTTGTGCTGGCCATCGGTCAGAGCAGAACCAGGTTAGGAGTTGTTTGTTGCTTGTGAACATTAATGATCGAATGTGATGCGGTTGTTCATTGTTGTTTTGCTTGTCAGCATACAGATACATTAATTTTAGCAATGCAAGCGTTTCCAACTTATTGAAAATAAGGAAACATTTAAAGTAGGACAGCCGTTCATAGAAACTTGAATTTTTGAACGGTAATCCAAACTCCATGCAGTCCCAACGAATTTATATATAAACGTTTGCGTGCCGTCTGAAAAGTAGACGCATGCTGTTTTGAATTCCACAATATTACTCTGTCTTAGATTGACTTTTTATATAAGTACCATAAAAAATCTAAAAATAACATTTCATTTTTTACGGAATCTTTGTTATAAATGAAATAAAATAAAAGTTTATATCAATCAAAACACTTTAAAAGCGAATACTCTCAAAACAGATTTATTTATTTATTTAAACAACGCATAAAAGAGTTATTAAATTGAAATAATCAGGTACGTGAGGAAGCATTTGAAAATAATGGATCGAGTGCGGTCCGACAACGACAGAGATCGAAAGTTGTCCTACAAATTCGCTGAAAAGTATCTCAGGCAGGACGGAGTGTTCGTCCTGAAGCTGGTAGCAAAAAATTCGACTGATCTGGTTGTAGCTGATATCGTGGCGGCTCTTTGGGACCACTTCAAGACGAAACCACGTGATCTGCCAGCTCATCAACGCCCTCGAACTCGTCGTCATCCACCACAATATTTGCAAGAAGCCGAGCGGTCAATGGGCTTTGAAGCTGCTGCCGTTGAGTCATACACGAACAATGCCAGGGACGATCAACTGTCACTGGAAGATTCCTGAGTTGTGTATTCGCCAGGGACAGAAGATGATGACTTTATTAGGTCTTTCTTTCTCTGTTCGTTGCAGAGCAACTTCAACGTTTTTTCAAATTTAAGTCACGTTCGAAGTATTTATTAAAAGTCGCCATGTTTTTATTAATGGTTTTTTATTTTATTACCGGTTTCCACTTGTAAACTTTACATTTCCGCACAATCCTCCAGATGATTGGAGGAAGAATTTGTAAAAAGTTTTTATAACAGGATGTAGTTTATTCTTGTTTTCGTTCATCTGCTTGATGTTTGTTCTTCTAGATTAGTTTTTACAAATACTGTATTTACTTTTTTTAACAATTTTTTTAATATCGTCCGATTTTTATTTGTTTTTAAATTTTCGGTAATTGTTACACTATTTCAATGTGCAGTTTGTACGTACTAGAAAAGAAAAGTTACTTAATAAATCAACTTATTGAATCATTTGATCGAGAATTAAAAAATTTGAAAATAAAAATAACCATCCGTTGAATGCTAGTTGAAAATAATTCAAGAAAAGTTACTTAATAAATCAACTTATTGAATCATTTGATCGAGAATTAAAAAATTTGAAAATAAAAATAACCATCCGTTGAATGCTAGTTGAAAATAATTCAAGAAAAGTTACTTAATAAATCAACTTATTGAATCATTTGATCGAGAATTAAAAAATTTGAAAATAAAAATAACCATCCGTTGAATGCTAGTTGAAAATAATTCAAGAAAAGTTACTTAATAAATCAACTTATTGAATCATTTGATCGAGAATTAAAAAATTTGAAAATAAAAATAACCATCCGTTGAATGCTAGCTGAAAATAATTCAAATAAGCGATCAAAAAGATCGAAGAAGCGCTACTGTAGAGGGATCGCAATTTGTTGGACATTTAAAAAACAAGATGGTGGGGTATTGAAGATGGAAAAACAGAAAAATACTTCATCCATTTAGTCAGCACAACAAACACAAAAATATTGCACAATACATTGCACAAATACATTGCACAAAAATATTTAGACATATCCAACAGCTATACATGTATTACGTTGTAAACTTTTCTGTTTTCTCGTGATAGACACAGACAATGTCAATGTTTAGTTTTGCAACTAAAAATTGAGTCTGCAGTAGTCACCTACCGAACAATACAGTAATTCAGGTTCGTTTGTTTATTTTTATTCGTTTGGAGAACAATTCTCGCTTGTTTTGCTACTTACTTGATCATAATAATAATTTGTAAAGTAATCTTCAGCGTGAAAGCCATTAGGGGGGAATCACAAAATCTTTTAAAGACTCAACTTGATAGACAAGCGAACTACAACATTTGGAGCATTTATAGGTGGGTTCCTCTAACGGGAGCAGATAATAACGTCATGTTGGAGTCATTCAATATCTTCTGCAATTTATAAACAATTTCCTGCTTTATTATTACCAATGATGTTGTTTTAATCATTACTAGTATTATCTTTTCATAGATCGTTTTGATGGATGGGCAGTAGGGTCGTATTAGGATGAATTTTTATTTGTATTATTATTATTATTATCCTTGTTGTATATCAGATTCTGGTTGATCGGTTTGAGTTCATCGAATCTCTCGCAGATTTTCTTGAATTGCTCCTTCATCTTCTGCATTTTATATCCCCTTCTTTTAAGTTTGTTCATTAGTTCAATTCAAAGCTTGCTTCTTTGAAAAATGTAAATTCAGATGAAATACCGGCGTATCTAATAAATTGTGAGTGAACGATTGACCTGAAAATGTGTGGTGGGTGGAAGGAGTGGTCGTGCAGGAGATCAAATGTGCTCGTTTTTTTAAAATGGGGTCTAGTGACTAGGAATGGGGATGTATCTGTATTTTTGTATATCGTAACATCTAAAAATTCGATGTTATTTGTATCGGGTTGAAAATTTAGTTTAATACCTTGTATTAAGTTATTCGCTCTTACTATTAATTTTTTTTCGGTTCTTCGTGGGTTCCATTGAAGGCGAAAAAAATATCGTCAATATATCTGATGTAATTAACAACCCGTAGAATTCGTTGTTGATAGTTACTTCGAGGTGGTCCAGATATAAGTTCGCTAATGTGGGTGAGTATATTTCTCCCTTGGCACACCCGTTGATTTGTAAGTATTGTTGATTGTTGACAACAAAATCATTATTGTGCAGGGTGAGTTCTAAGACTTCGATCGTTAGATTATTGAATTTGTTGTCTGGCATGTATTTGTTCAGAGCATGTTGGGTTATCTCAATCGATCTGTGATTATTCATGTTTGTGAAGAGACTTGATACGTCGGCACTTACTAATATCTGCTGATTATTAGTGAAAGTTGTGGAGATTTTTCTCACAAACGTGTTCGTATCTTTCACGACAAATCGCAAATGTTTAAGCATTTGTTTGAGTTGCACCTCCACAAAGGTCGGCAGTGGCTGGTTTATCGAGCCAATGTCACTGACAATGGATCTTTCTTTGGGGGTGTACTCGTCGAGCCAGTCATTTTTTCTTTGTGTATTTTAGGCAAGGTGTAGAAAAATTTCGTTTTGGGTTCGCTAGGAGTAGGAGGGTGGAGAATATTTTTTTGTTTATTATTTTTAATCGCTTATATTTCGATAGTCTTGTCTGTTGTCGATTGGTTTTGAAATTTTCTTGTAAAATTTTTCATCTGCTAATTGGCTTTCTGCCTCTTTGACGTAATTGCTCCTATGTAAAAATTACGAATACACTACCTTTATCAGCTTTACGTAATATTATTTCTTCATTCTTTTTTTAGTTCTAGCAACGCTTTCATCTCGGTGGGGTGGATGTTTGATTTAAACATATTTGTTTTTATTACATCATTATTATTTTTTGAAATGAATTTTTGTTGCTGCAGTTTGTTTATTTATTCTGTGGCGGCTTTGAAATTATTAGAAAATTTATATTGCGGTGGGTTCCAGTTTGATTGAAAATACTTGCCGTAATTAGGCAGGCATGGCATTCTGTTGTTCTGCACCTCTTTGTTTTTGTTAAGAAAAATCATTAATTTTGATATCTCTTATAAGTTTACTGATGCCATTTTTTATTTCTGTTGTTCTTAATTTTTCGGTGTGCTTACGAATCTCAGGCATTCATTTGGTGTTCCGTTATTACGTATTGTGTAGACGCGTTAGCATTGCGCGTTTTTCTGTTGTTGCGCGTAGGCGTTCATCCTATACGCTTCCATGAACGTGCATGCGCATGTGCAGTCATTGTTGTTTTTGCAAAGGTTGGTCGTTTGTTTTTTCATAAAAGATTTAATTAATGCATATGGATCTTTTTTAATATTTTTTCTGTTGCAGTACGCATCTTAGTATGAAGGGATGTGTTTCACTATGTCCAGCGACATTTGTTTAGTGTGCTCACGTGGGTTCGTGTTTATTTATAATGATATTTTTATAAACAAGGTATCCATCTATCTTTTTGGTGTCGTTTTCTAGGGAAAAGCCGATTCTTTTTTTAAGTTCGTCAGTGCCCTTGAAGCAACTAAAGATAATAGTATTGTCGCCTTCTTTCGTCTTCCTGCCTAGTGGACTGGTGGGTATGATTTGTTTGTGTGTTATACTCATCGATCTCGTTGCAGGTGGTACGTAAGGAGATGGTTGGTTGTTAAATGTCGCCTCATCGTCATCATCATCATTATACCAATCATTAGATAGATGGAATAAATTCTCTATCGTATGTTGTTTAATGTCGTTGGAGTAGGTTGTAATTTCATGTGTCGCTACATCTGTGGGGTCATTTTCTACAGCACAATCATCATTGGTGTCTGTTGTCGCGATCCCCTGTGGGTCGATTGTGCATCTGATGTTTGTGTTGTTAGGGTTAAGGTTGAAATCAAGAATTTGCAAAGTAAAATCACGCAATACTATATCAGGCATCAGTTTCCTGCTTCCTCGAGTTATTGTTCGGTTACAGCGTTTTAAAGTAACCGTCAAATTGTTTTGATCTTTATCAATTGAAAAAAAAAACAAACAATAAAGTGGAAAGTCATAAATGATTAATTTAAAAAAGTTTTGTGGCGATTGTTATGCCTGCAAACCAAAAAATGCAAATCAGGATGATCACAATGATTGAATAACTAGCATAGCATGCTAAAACAGCTTTGTTTACAATTGATATTCATCTTTAATGATACTAAGTCATGTATAGAACCATCCTGATTATTTTGCCAAATAAACTTACTGCTCATCAAATGTTACAGGAAAAAAATATTTTAGAGTTATGACGAAATGATTGAAAGAGTACGAAACCATATTTGGCGTGCAATTCATTTGGTGTACAATGTATTCGGTGCACAAAATATTCAGTTTATCGGGTGTACCCTGTACATACCTGCAACATCCACATGAGTCACGTGATTCCTATTTTTAAAAATAAAACCTGACAACGTAATGGAATAATTATTTAATAAAAATGTCTTACGTATTAGCAGAAGCTCAAACACATTCGAAAAAACACAAGGATAATAAGTAGATGTACAAGAAATTGTGAAGCAAGCGTTCAAATGGATAAGCACACAAGCAAACATATGTACAATGACACTTGCGTACGTATTCATGCATACACACGCAAGCATACTGTTATACAAAGACACACACACACACACACACACATACACGACAAACATTGCACCTGTCGGCACTATCGAACAATTGAAATGTACATGAGCTGCCATGGCATCATACACAAACACAAACGTAAATAACATACAATTCATCTGTGCAAAAAGCCAACAACAACACACTCACACACACACACATTCACACACACACATTCACACACACACATTCACACACACACATATACACACACACACAAACACACAACACATACGGGCGAAACAAAATTCCTGTTTGTCAAACAACATTGATTTTGTTATTTTGGATCACATCTGCCAATGCTTCCACTACTACTTATTCTCCAATTAGAGTGCTATTATAACCTCTCAACCAAACTACGTACCGTGGATATGATTTCATCTGCATATCTCACAGTTCACAGTAATATATGCAAATGAAATGAAAAGATAAGCAATATGCATATGCACTATATATATATATATATATATATATATATATATATATATATATATATATATATATATTTATATATATATATATAACACTTCATAGCTCTCAGTGCTACGGAAAATTTATGTCAACTAATATAACAACAAAAATCCTACCAACAACAACTACAATTCTACCGACAACAACAAATGCATCTACGAGAACTACAACAACAACAATCATAAAAATTCAAATGATTGTTCTTTCTGTCGCATTCTATTGCAAACCAAAAAAATCAATTGCTACACATTCGTTGTTGTTGTTGTTGACGCGCGCATGAGCACGTGGGCTAAACTTCACCCACCACACACTATTCACACACAGACAAACATACACACACAACACAC